TTCGTGTAACTAATTGCAAATAAACATAATCTTAGAGGATAAACATCTCATTTTAATTATAAAATATCTAAAATATAATTAGGATAATCATTGAGTTCTAACAAAATATTTAATTATTATCTTAAATAAATTATTTTATAAAACCAAAAATAAAATAAAATGAATTAAAGAAATACACAAAAAAGGAAAAATTTTAAATAGTTAGTTTGATACTAATATAAAAAAATAAAAAAATGAATCTCGTTGTATTGTACGAGTATCCTTCTAGTTATATTATAAAGCATTTGGTTCATTAATTCTCTTAAAAACAAATTACCATGCATAAGGTACAATTGATTTGTGCACATTACTTAAAAATCAAAAATACAAGTTAATTATGCATACGTACATGTTTTTAAAGCATATTACTCTCATTGAAATTTTAATTTGTCCCTACGATCTCTCTAATCCAACTAACATCCCTATAATCTCTCTTTTTCAAAGAGTAGACAACCATTGTTGATTTCATATTTAATGGGTGGTTTTGACTCAATATTTCTTATAATCACCGTCAACTTCCCTTCTCCAAAGCTCGGTTGCTTCTCTTTCAAGGTAAGTTTCAATTTCATGCGTTTCGACCATTGCTTCTGATTAATTTATGGTATGTGTTACTTTTTGCTTCTTTATTTTTGACTCATTACGTATCGATTCCTTATGGTTTCTTTGTCTGGTTCTTTGTCGGTTTAGGTTTACTTCCTCGGAGTTCAAGAACCTTCAATTCATTCACGGAGTGCACATCTAATTATACTCCAAGAGTTTTGGCCTCCGTCCTTATCCTAAGGTGTTTGGTTTTTTTGGTAAGATAGGCTTTCATTGGTACATTTCATATCATACATAATTTTTTCAATAATTTCTACCTCCAAACCCATTATATTACAACCACAAATACTTACGTGTTTCATATCGTACATAATTTTTTCAATAAGATAGGCTTTTGTTGGTACGTTTCATATCATACATAATTTTTTCAATAATTTCTACCTCCATACCCATTAGATTACAACCACAAAAACGGGTCCTATAGACAGTCCATCTATTCCTAATTTCCAACGGAAATAAGACTCTCCACCACCACAATGTGAGTGAAAATATACGAAAAATAAATAAAAAA